CCCCGGTTTTAACAATAGCATGTGAGAGACCCATCATTAAAAAACAAACAAACAAAAATCTGTCACCTGACGTATTTGCACAACCCAGTTTTTTGGTGGCAGCCTAACATTTTCTTGCCCTTGGATTGTGGCTCTACTGGGGTCTGATTCCTCTTCCTCATTACCTTGGTGGGGCCTGTGCTGCTTACCGGGGAGGGGGGTGCATTTGGAGACCCGACACTTCTTTGTTGTTTGGGACTGTCCTCCACGTCACCGGACTTTCAGCATCCGATCTCTCGGTCCTTGTGACAGCATTAGGCCTTCACACATTGCCAGTGTTCCCCACAAGGGCCACCCCTCTGCAGGACTGCAGGAGCTCTTCCCGCACGGAACTGACTCTGCTAGATGTGTTACGGTGACATTTTTTAATCTATTTCTTCATGGTTTATAATAAAGATGAGAAATGTGAATATCATTCCTCTTTTTGTATAAATGAAAACAGTTTGGTTTTAGCACACCCCCCCACACCCCCCGCTACACACACACACACACACACCTGTGTAATCTCTCAACTTGTGATTTTTCCCTCCCCCCCTTAGGTCGATTTCCCGCGGAATCTTGCTAAGTCTGTAACTGTGGAGTGAAGAGCATCCGAAACTCGGCGCTGTTGAGCAACACAAGACACCTTTTGTATTTAAAACCTTGATTTCAAGTATCACCCTTTTAAGCCTTTTTTAGTAAATCTTTATTTATATATCAGTTATAATTATTCCACTCAATTAGTGGTTTTTGTGAAAATTACCTCTTATATTTTTCCAGTAATCTGTACGGGAGTTTGAATAATGGAATCTATATTGGGATCTATGTCAAAAAGAGATTTTAACTGTCATTTTCTGTTGCACTTTTGGGCACTCCAATCTGGGAGGGTTGTATACTGTTAAAACCATTGGCTTTTGCTTTACCCTGCCATTCTGGCTAATGGGAGGATGGTGGAGAGAACTGGACTGTCTAAAAGCAGCAGCAACGCCTCTAACGTGCACGTGAACATTTACGATTGCTTCTGAGTTACACACCAAGAGAAGATGCTGTGACTGACTGTGACACTTGTTTCTCTTCTGTTTTGAAATCAAACTCTCAAACAGAAAAATCGAAAACTTTTCTTGGGATTTATGTATAAGCAAGATCAACCTCCATTTTTCAAGCTCGGTACAGGGAAGAATCTATGTCAAGACAATTTAGGACGCAAATGATTACAGTAATGTGTTGGTCTTCCTCAACCCTTAGCAAAACATTTGCACAAGTATACAGCACAACTTGAAATTGGAACTGCTAAGGACGTCTCACAGTATGGTTCTCAATTTGAAGATGGGGAAGGTACATGTAGGCTTCTTATTCCTTGTTTTCCCATCTCCCAGAAGTGTTCAAGTTTTAAAAACAATTTCCTTGTATTTGTAGTTGTAGTTTTTAAGTAGCTGCTGATTGACGTATTTTATTTTGTTCTTTGAAATCACAACAGAGAGCTGCTATCCCCATGTGATCAGTCCTGATATGTTGATGTCATCCATACCTCAGCCATTTGTCCAAGGAAGACTGTCCCGCAGTGATTTGTCACTTTCCCTCTTTCCTTATGTAAAGCTAGTATGTTAGTGCCAGTTGGGCTGATCTACCAGTCTTTTGAATAATCATTAGAGTAAATGTGCACGGTACACTGGGCTCAGGAGCACTGCGCTTGACATCGCTACTGATGGAAGAGGGCATCACGTTGGGTATTGCTTCCCTCTTTGCAGTCTCTGTTCGACACCTGCCCTTCCTGTCTTCACTTTCCCTCCGTCCTTGCCTTTCCCCTCTTCCTTTCTCCCACCTCCCTCTCTCCTTTTATTTTAAGTCTTTTCTTCCGTGGTGATTTTGTCCTTAGTGTCCCTTTGCCCACTTTCCTATTGGGGCGGTCATCTTTTTAATGAGTTTTAGAAGGTTTACATACTTAGCATATCTATCCTTTGTCATACACATTGCAGATCCTTTTGTCTTTCTATGTTGTCACTCACCTCTTGTTATGGTGGATTTTTGCCGAGAGAGCTAATTTTTCTGTAATCTGATCTGCCCATCTTTTCCCTGGAGGGTTTTGTCTGCAGTTACATTTGGAAGGGCCTGAGCAGAAAGCCCACAGAGCCTGTGGGTCAGGTTCTCTTGGAGCTCTGGGTGTGGCGCGAGTGGATGTGCAGCTGACCTTTGTGGGGATGACTTGAAGCTGAGTCTGGAGGCAGTGTGTTGAGGAGGTTGGTACCACAATCCAGGCTAATGGCAGTGAAGGCCCAGGAGGCCCAGGAGGTGAGGAGAACAGAGACGTGCCTCCAAGGGGACTTTTTAAGGGAACTTTTTTTAAAAACGGCAATAAAAGAGAAAGACTAAAAATGTTCATGGTAACTCGTGTGCTACAACATAAGTGATTTTTTCGAAAAGCACAATGTCATTTTAAAATAATTTATTCAAAATAACATTGAATTTGTGAAGGCCAAAGACATTGAAGGGAAGGGTAAAGATATTTTAGTCTTTTGATAGCAACATAGTTAGTAAATGATCCTGTGTACAGGAATGCCAGACAGGGTGTTTCACCCATGGAAACATTTCAGATCACTTTGTTCTCACTGTTACACTGCCTCGAAATTTTAGCACAAATCTTATTCTTCCATTCTATCTCCCTCCTGTAGTTAAATCCTCTCTTCAGATCAGTGACAATGACAACCAGCACAACTGGGTACCATTAGCTTCCAACCAGTTAAAGAAGAAATCACACCTAACGAGCAAGAGTTCAGGTTATGTCATATTAACGGACATCTGTAAGAGGTTGATATCAAAGATGTTATGAAATGTACCATAAATCATGGTTAGTGGGAGCATCTTACGGAATTCTGAAATTACCTTTCTGACTGTACTGCTTTTCAGAACGAATATAGAAGTAAGTGATCCTGTTAGTTTTTTTAATGTTCTCTGATTGAATGATTTTGCCTAAATAAAACTTGGTATTTGTTTAAATATCCTTCTTGTGAACTGGAAATTTTAGAATCATCCTTGCTTTGTTTCAGTTTTCTGTTTTTTGAATTGAATGTTTTAGTTTACTGAGCCAACTAGTGATTTCTTCCTTATGTCTTGTAAGTCCAGTGACTCTTAAGCCTGAACTGTGAATAAATCACCAAAAACTTGCTGGGAGTTGCATTTTGAAGCAATCTGCCGACATTTGACTTGCATATACTTTTTGTAGCTGTGTTAAAGGTTGTATTGTCCTCAGAATGTAGCCCATGCTTAGTTTAGTTGTTAGTAAACATTTCTCTTTGTTGTTGTTTTTATGGCATATATTTCACGTCATACAAATCAATAGTTCATATTAAAAAGGGTTGTACAGTCAATTAGTAAACATTTCTGATGTTGAATGTTTATTAGTATTGCTTTAAAAAAGACAGAGAAATGATTTCATCATAAGCTTTAAAACCGAAATGCTTCCCTCTCCACATTCTATTGTTTGAGAAAGCTTCGAGGAAAACAGGCCATGCTCTTGACTGCCGCCCTCTACAGGAAGTCTTTCAAGTCTGTTTACAGAGTGTTCACGATAATAGCCTGGTTTGTCGCTAACAAAGGATATGTGAGTTGGCTGAGTAGCAAGGCAGCATGTATCTCATACATAAAGTTGCTGTGTAGCTGAGAATTCTCACCGAACAGAGATGCTTTTAGACACCAGCAAACTGAACTCTCTGTTCCCAGTGCTTACGGCAGGAGACGGGCTTATGCCAGGGTGGCTTGAGGGAAAACTGGGCTGTTTGTCTCTCTGGGAGAGGGGAGCCCAGTCTCCGCTCTCCACTTTCCTGGTTGCTGTGCAGCACGGCCTAGCCAACACTGCACATTTTTTCCACAGGCCACGTTTCTTGGCATAAAATCCAGCTTTACTCTTCATGAAGTTTTCTCCTAAATTCTCCCAAATCAGCAATTTGCATTTACTGAGTACTTACTAATGGTCAAGAAATGATGTCTTCTAAAGTTAGGAGACCGCTTTTCATGGGGAAGGGGGAGTTAGGGGAAATTATACAGATTTTTTTTGGATAAAGGAAAGAAGCATGATTCATCGGAAGGGGAATAATAGTGTCCTCTCATTTTTCAGATAAGGTAGGAGCTTTATTAGAAAGCATCCTGGAGCTACAAACCAATCTTGTAATCATGTGCAGAAAAGCGATAGCTGACCCTGACCAGAGCCTGTGTGTGGATGTGTGCGCAAGTGAGTGTGTGTGAGATTTCTTGGTGAGTGTGTACGTGATAACTTTCGAGGTTAGAAAGGCACATCTATGGAATTCGTATTACTACAACTCAATGACTCAGTGCTAAGATTCACATTTCCCATAAAAATGCTATTATACAGCCATTTTTGCCTTCAAGAGATTTTTGAATACGAAATAGAGGTATTTACTTAATAAGAGGTGAAAAATAGAGCTTGCTGAATTGGAGAGATGCTCTTAGGATAGAGTTATAGTCATTTCCTTGCCATTTCTATATCTACCTGCCTGTATATGTTTGTATAAAATTAAAAAGCATTTGTGTTTATTTGGATAAAAGCATATATCTTACTATATGCTTTAACATTTTGCGGTGTAATGAATGATTTAGAAGTATCCAGTAATCTAAAAACCTAAGCCCCTAAATAAAGCCTATCAAGAAAGTCATGTATTTTTAAACTTATGGTTGTTGTATACATGGAATATCTAGAAGTTAAGTTTTGCCTTGTCACTCAGCTTTGTATATTTTGAATTGGAGATAAATATTCTGATGCCCTGGCAGGAAAATCGCCGGAATTCCCAGGCCATATAAGTCATTAGTCATTTCGAAGTCCAGGTAAATTACACCTGAAGGGGAGATGATAGAAACAGTAACGTGAACTGGGTTAGCTCCTTGGTACTTAACAATTTTGAGACCCAAAACTTGACATCCAAGCCACAAAAACCTATTGCGTCAATATCACTACAATTTGTCATCCTCCTTCAGGTGACCTTGTTGTCCGTGGTAGAGGGCACTGCTGTGTTAGTATGACAAGCGCACTGTGAGCTGGATTCATTGGAAAGTTTGATACACCGCCTTGACACAATACACTTAAGGGGATGGTAGCTATTTTAGATAAAAATGCTTACTTTGTAGGCAAGAGAAATTATATTAAATTCCAGTTCTCTCAGTTAGACTTGACTTTGCCAACCTAGTTTAATTTATATGGGACTTGGGGCTTTTCTTCTTTTCCCGTATCATACTTTGTACATAGGGCTTTTTGAAAGTTCAAGTGTATATGCTTCGAATTTTATTTCAATTTTTCTATTTATTCTTTGAATAAAATATAAGCCCAGTATTCATCTTATTGTTTACTTTCTCTGCTGCTATGTAGAGACTAGCAACCACTGGAAATCTCTGTAGGCTTTCCAACTTCTGCTCTTGGTTATGAGATCAGTATGCTGTTAACAATTTAAAGTAGTTTTTGTTTTTTTGAAAGAAACTCCCCTATACTTGTAGTGTTTTTTTGGTGCCTTAAGTGGAATAGAATTATACTGTCCTCCAAGTACAGAGTTGACTTTACTGACACACCGTTAGTAAATTAGACATTTTGTTTCAGGGATAAAGCAAAGGCAAACTTGCTGTCTTTGAGTCGAATTCTGACTCCCAGTGACCATATAATACAGACTAGACCCGCCACTGGCTTTCAAAGGCTGTAATCATTAGGGCATAGAAAGCCTCATCTTTCTCCCAGGGAGTGGCTGATGGCTTCAAACTGCTGACCTTGTGGTTAGAGGTCCAGTGTTTATCCACTATACTAACTAGGTTTGTACAAATTGGCACACATTTGGTTCTTCATGTGATGGAGGACATAGAATAAGGTAGGTTTATACACTGTTCTCCACAAGTTGATCTTCCCAACAGATTAGTTCTGAGTACATGATTCTCAGTTCTTGGGATTAATATGCTAATATGAAGGGCAGCTCTGAAAATGTTGACAGTCCCTCAATCAAGATCGGGCTTAATATTTTAAAAAATTAAATGGCATGACTCAAGATTTGGATCACTAAGTTAGTAATCCATTACTAAAATATACCAGCCAGTTATTGCTTTTTCCACTCTCTTGTGTTCCTGAGGAGCCCTGGTGTTAGCGTGGTTGTGCACTGGGCTGCAGTGTGCACGGTCAATTTGAAGCCATCAGCCGCTCTGGGGGACCAAGACTGGGCTTTCTACACCGTAAACAATTACAGTCTTGGAAACCCACAGGGGCTCACGCTGAGCCAGCAGTGACTCGATGGCAGTAAGTTTGGTAGGTTTTGGTTTGTGCTGCCCAGGGTCTACCAGGTAGGTGTACAGATCATGTGAGAAATACCTGGACAAACAGTCGGCTTTACACAGTATGGGTTTTCCTGTGTGAGAGCAAAATGATCACTGTAGTAGTTGCTTAATGATGCCAACATAAGTTGTAACTGTGTCTTAGGCAGGGGTCTCCAGAGAATCAAAACCAGTGATGCTTGTATACACATAGAAATAGAGAAGTGCGGATCTCTGTATAACCCCTCCCTGGGAGGCGGACAACAGAAAAGTGGGTGAAGGGAGACAAGACGTCGGACTGTGTAAGACGTGAAAAAATAATAATTTATAAATTATGGGTTCGTGAGGGAAGGGTGGAGAGGGAGGGGAAATGAGCAGATACCAAGGGCTCAAGTAGAAAGCAAATGTTTTGCGAATGATGATGGCAACAGATGTACAAATGTGCTTGACACAATAGCTGTATGTGTATGTATGGTGACAAGCATTTACGAGCCTCCAATAAAATGATTTTGAAAAGAAAAAAGAAAATAAGGACCCTAAATAAAATGATTTTATCTTAAAAAAAAAAAAAAAGAAACAGAAATGTCTATCAAAATGGATGACAGACACAGTTGTAGAAGTGGGCAAGTCCATGTTAGTCTGGAGGCTTCTGATTCAAGTAACTGAATCTGAGGTCAGCAAGTCAGGCAGCTGATATCTCCTAGGATTGCCAGACAATATGCAGGCCATGGGCTCAGGTCCAAAGAGCCAGAGGTTGATCCAGATGCAGAATCCTGATTCAGCAAAAAGCAAGCAGGCTTTTCCACAGCATCCACTTATATTAGAAGCAGACCACACTGCTGCAGAGACTTTGAATTGATCGCATCAAGGCTGTGAGGTGAGTAAAGGCATTGCATACCACCCTAATCTGATAACTGATTGGCTGCTCGGAGCAGATCCCATTATGCAGGTGATTACATTGTGTTGGGTCACATCATGGGGTTTAACTGCCAAAACACAGAATCCTGGCCCAGTCACGTTGATATGGGACCTTCACTATTACACCATGAGTAGCATTTAACCGCATGCTTTCTTTCAGTGCTTTATTTACTGTGTCAGGATTCTGTCAAGTAATCAAAAGCCATTATTGACATTTTCAAAAGGAAAGGATTTGAGCTGAGGGATTAGTTTTACAGTGAGGGGTTTTTTTTTCCTCTCCCAAAATGTGTGTGCAAATGGCTGTCAGTGGTGGGTCCAGTTAGATCTCTGTGGACAAGTATCCGGTGGAAGGAGCACTGAAAGAATGAAACAGTCCAGGAAAGTGTGCCTTTGTGAATACACGGCTTCCATCTTTGTGCCTATATTTAAACTTCCAAAGGAGAAAGAATTTCATGATTACATCATTACATAAATGCCAACCCATTCAGAATCATGGCCTGAGTCAAACTGAGACACATTTTGTGAGGGGATCCAATTCCATCCCTGACAGTAGCCTTGAGGGACTGATCCCTGCTGATAGATCCCATGTAAATGATGCTAAGTCTGCACCCTCACTCAGGAGCACTTCTTCCAGGACGCATGCCTGCCTTCTGGCAGTGCATGGTAGCCTGAGCACTCTG